ACACTGAGGGTTGCGATCCGTTGCCAGACACGGAAAAAAGACAAAAGACAAAAAAATAAAATAAAATAAAACATATTTTAAAACTTTTTTTTTTTAGGGGCTGGCCCGTGGCTCACTCGGGAGAGTGTGGTGCTGATAACACCAAGGCCACAGGTTCGGATCCCTATACAGGGATGGCCGGTTAGCTCACTTGGGAGAGTGTGGTACTGATAACACCAAGCCAAGGGTTAAGATCCCCTTACCGGTCATCTTTATAAAAATTTTTTTAAAAACTTTTTTTTTATGGAAGAAGGGGCCCACAAAGGCAAAAAGTACCAGGGCCCGTGTATCACCTTATCAGGAAGGCCTGACACACACACCCCTCTAAAATTGCAAACCCTCACCTGCCATCAACTCTGAAATACCTGTCAGGTGTCACCCATGATCACACTGGGCCCTCATAACAGCCCCAGGAAAGGACACTAGGGCTCAGATGAAGGTCACTCACTCAAAGATACACCATCAGGGGAGTGGTGATGGTTGACCATAAACCCAGGACCTGCTGACCCAGAGACCACGAAGCTCACCGTAACACTCCAAATTTGTCATGGGGGCAGGGAAAGGGATCTGAATGTGGTCTCACCTCATTTTCAATGGCCAAGTCACGGGACCAGGACTTCTGGGGTCTGGAGAGTGGGATGCGGGCCTTGGGGTTCCGGCCAGGCAGCTGGACTACTGAGTAGATGCTGAAACCCAGGGCAGGCACGGAGGCTGAGAAGAGCAGCTCCGGATGTTGCTCCTGACTGTCTGAGCTGGGAGGTATCACCACCTCGGGTATGGGAGGAGGGAAACTGAGTCAAGAGGCTGTGAGTACACATATAAAGCCACACAGACACAGAGGCATCAAGCTCAAGGAAGGGGAGGAGTCCCGGGATGAGAAGAAATCTAGGTATTGGGGAGTGTCCCAGGAAAAGACTGCAGAGAAGATTCACAAGGTGGAGAAAATCCTCTGTGGAGGGGGGACGGAGAAGTGAGGAAGAGGGAAGAGATCCTTGAGGCAGGGGAGTGTGGGACAGATTCCCAGGGGAGGAAGAGGTTCGTGGGAGAGGACTTCTGGGATGAAGGGGATATCCATGAACAGGAAGAAAATCTATGGGGGGATATTTGAGAGGGGGACCACTCGTGAAGGTACATGTTCCCAAGGGGAGCTGATTTTAAAGGGCAGAGGGGAAGATATTCGTGGAGGGGTAGGTATTGATGGAGAGGGATTGTATCCATGAGGGGGAGATACTCAAGAGGGAGGTGTCCACGGGGGGGAATGGGGCATGTGCATGGGAGCAAGTGTCCAAGAGGGAATATTTATTAAATAGGCTCACATTGCTCTGCACAGTCCTGCCATTGGGGTCTTTCACGAGGAAAACGCTTTTGCTGACTGGCAGCCGCACCATCCAATCCACCTTCCGCCCCAGAGGGTTATAAATGGTGACCTGGAACTGGGGAGAGACAGTCAGGGAGGGCATGGGTCACAGCTGGCCTTCTCCAAACCCACCCACCACGCACGACAACGTGTCTGGGTGATGCCGGTGCGGTCATGGCCCTCCAGGCCAAGCCCCCTGCTGGTGCAATGGTGTCATTCTTGCCCCAGCTTCACTGCGCCCCACGTGATCTTGCCTCAGTAGGGTCCTACAGAAAATTTGACCACCACCCTCTCTAGAGCCCCTCAGCCTGAGCCCCGCCTCCTCTTCGCACCGCCCCACGATCCACCTGGTTCCCCACCCCCACCCGGCTCTAGTCCCACCCACGGGACTTGCCTCCCGGCCCC